CAAATACTGTAGGCATGGTGGGGTGGGGGAGTGGAGTGGGGAGCGGATGATGTTTCTTATAAGTTGCTCACTCCTAAAAGGCTGAAAGTGATTGATGTGAAGCTGATATTAGCCATTCCAAACTAATAGCGCCAGGTTGATGTATAATAGTGCTATGCTCTGTCAGATTTGCGTGTCGCATGGCAAGCACCTGACTTAATGTGACTTCAGATGAAAAATGAAGGTAGTGGAATAGTCATTGGTTATAGAACCTTTCACCTCTAGTTCACTTGTTCTAATCCAAACCAGGCTGTTAGTGACAGAGACTTGTTACCACCTGGTGTCTCTTCCTCCTGAAATGAAACTGACTCAGTCCAGTTCCCAGTAGGCAGATCTCCACATTACAAAAACCAGCATCACAATCAGACCCCCTTAGTGATAGCATAAGCAGAGAGGCTAAGGACTGCATGGACGTGAGATTCTCTCCCCTTGAATTGGTGCCTCCAAGCCAGAAGAAGTGATTGGATGGGTCACTGTAGGGAACCTCACACTGCTGCTGCCCCGCCAGTTTGGTAGCTAACGATAAGCGTTCGCTTCCCAGTTCTGTTCACCTGGCATCTTTCATAAGTATTAACTGCACTTTAAAAATGAAAGGAAAAATCGTGTCGGTGACAGAGCAATGACTGCCCCCAATGGTCTACACAGGGATTGACAACCTTTGGCACGCGACCCGTCAGGGAAAGCCGCTGGCAGGCCAGGATGGTTTGTTTACCTGCAGGGTCTGCAGGTTTGGCTGATCGCAGCTCCCACTGGCTGGGGTTTCCTGTTCCAGGGCAATGGGGCTGCGGGAAGTGGCGGCCAGCACATCCCTCAGCCGCACCGCTTCCTGCAGCCCCCACTGGCCTAGAACAGTGAACCGCGGACAGTGGGAGCTGCCATCGGCTGAACCTGTGGATGCTGCAGGTAAACAAACTGTCCTGGCCCGCCAGCAGATTTCCCTGATGGGCCGCATGCCAAAGGTTGCCGATCCCTGGTCTAACAGATCATGACAGGAAGTGATATGAGATCACTACGGCATTCCCATTGCAAAATTCACTGATGTTGATAGTCGTGTTAGGAAAATACTTTTGAACAAACTGAGGCTTGGAATTGTGGCTTCCAGGGGATTTTCTATGCTGCCTTTTGACATGTTATGACATTTGCACAAGGTGAGGTACAGGAGAATCAGCCTGTAATTGACACTCAGTTTAATCATAAGTGTAAGTTCTGTCTCATTTTATTTCTGTTAACCTTATGAAAAAGAAATTCTTTCCCCTCTTGGGACTATTCACTCAGAACAGCCTCATGATCTACTCCGCAGTCAGAATGTGCAGCCAGCTTCTGAAGTGACACTCTTCATTGACTGCCAATTGAGCACCAAGGCCAACACGAGTTCAGGGTGAAAAATGGCACTACAAATAACCCTTCAGTGATGGCAGATTATGGTCAAGGTGTTTTGTCAGTCATTTAGAATGAGAGATTCTCTACCATTACAGGCCAAACATCCCAAACTGGATGCCTAACCTTTGGTTCCTGAATCCACATTTAGGCGCATGATTGAAAGTGGCCTCATGTTCAGAGGAGCTGAGCCCTCCAGTTCCCACTGATTTCCCACCTACCCAGCTCTCATCATTGTAGCTTACACTTCTCTGTATGTTGCTTTTCCTGCTACGCCCCTTTGGTGTGTAAATGACACTCATTTGACACACCCACTGACTTGATGCATTTACATTCCTTTACTACTTGCACTTGTTTCCCGCACCCACTATGTCTGATGTGTCAGTTATACCACCACTAAATTTGGCTCAGAACCTTCTGTGGGAGTTGCACCTGTTTACAGCTGGTCTGAATTTGGTGCTAATACCTATGCTCAGATTGGCCACAGGTACTGGTTCACATGGGACATCAGAGGAGACTTTGCAGAGCTGGCTTTGGGAAGGAGAGAGGAACTTCGCTAGTGCAGGTAAAGACAAAGGGAAGCAGGCTCTGTAAAGCCACTACGTTCCCAGCCCCATGCCGGTGGGAGGGGGAATGGAATGGGGAGGGCGTAGCTGTGCTGTTGAATGCACGTGGCACGCTGTATAGACCTTGCAGTTTACTCTCTCCCTCCAGAGGGAGTGGATCCAGAGGGAGAGCACAATTCTCTCAGTCACAGGTTCCCTCCCAGGCTGCTCCTGAAGCAATGTAACAGCATGCTGCCCCTTACTCTGGCCTTGTGCAAAGCTGTGACTGAACCCTGTATCTAATGCAGACAGTGTATTCCAAAATAGCGGCTACACAATGATATTGTAAAGGAGATGCAGAGAGTACAAAATAGTCCCATCTAATGAACTGTAGCCTTCCATCAGAAACAGACTTTCCACACAAAGCCTCCAGGCGCATGCCCTCAACTACTATACAAATGTCCAGGCTTCACAGATACATTAGGGGTGCTGGAAATGCCTTATTCTGAGCAGGACAATACAACTTTTCAATGTTTGGTTTCCTAATTCTCTTCCCCCATAACATGTGGCTTCAGAGTGAGATGACAGCTGGATCAGTTTTCCAGAAAAGTCTGCTCCTGCATGGATTGTGCACCCCAAACTCCCACTAGCATGGTTTGTAAAGAAGACAGGGTTAGGGTCTTCCGGATGAATGAGTGATTTGGGGATCATAACTGTGGCCACTATATAGCATTCTCCTCACAATTGCAGACAAGTAACTCCCATGAAATGTACACCATCAACAGGAGAATGTGCTCCCAAACCAATAATGATGTTCTTGTTAATAAAAGGAAAGGAAAATAATCTATGCCATGAAAAAGGATACAGATGAACTGTAGATTCAAAGCCTGGTCTTTCCATCTTCCTGAAGGCTGCTGCTTACAAATGTAATGCCCTTTCTCTCCTGTGATACCAATCAGCCACTCCTCCTCTTTCAAATCTTTCAAATTTTCAAAATCTGTGATGTATTGAGGACTGTGCTAGAATTCCAAGCTATTGCTTTAAGACAGAGGGGGTGGGGTGTTCCTCGGTCATGCTTGCAGCCTAGGGGGCTCTGTAGCAAAGTGGGTGTGATCAGAGTCAGTTTGAAAAGAGACAGCTTAAAGCAAGTTGTGCCTTTTTGTTTTAGGGAGCAGCAGGTTTTATTTCTCTGTTTTGGGTTTCTTGTCTGTTCTGAATTGTAAGGAATAAAGTAGTGTTACGTTGCAACCTTCCAGCAGGAGTATCCTATGATTTTATTTAATTTCTCTCTTTGTAGGCTGTGAAACATAACAGCTCCCTTAAAACACACAGCATCTGCAAGACCTAGCAACATTAAATCATCAAGCATTTTGTGTGTGTGTGTGTGTGTGTGTGTGTGTGTGAGAGAGAGAGAGAGAGAGAGAACACTAAAAGTGCATTGCTTGATGTTTTGGCTTTCAATGCATGGTTTGTTTGGTCTATATCTGCTTTAGACTGTAAGGTGCAGAGACCTTCCTTTTTCTGTTTGTACAGCACTGAGCGCATTGCCTGCGCTCAGCACAAAATAAACCAAATCTTTTAAAGAATCACAAATCCAATCTAGATTTATATTCATTGGGTAGATCTAAAAGTGAGAGAAGTTGGAGCCTGATTCTGATCTCAGTTTACCACTATGTAAATCCAGAATAGTTCTGCTAAGGTAATGGCATTACTCTGGAGTTATAGTAGGGTAACTAATAGGAACCTGGCCCAACGTGTTGGATTGCTTACAAACTGCCACAAGCTACATACAGAATAGCTTTCTTTCCTGGTCTGAGTGAGGAGTAACTAACTATTGGAGCAATTTACCAAGGGCTGTGGTGGATTCTCCATCACTGGCAATTTTTAAATCAAGATTGAATGTTTTCATAAAAGATCTGCCGTAGGGATTAGTTTGGGGGAGTTCTACAGCCTGTGTTCTATAGGAGGTCAGACTAGATGATCACAATGGTCCTTTCTGGGCTTGGAATCTATGCGCGTTATCTTCTGGCTTAGCACTGAAAAGCCCACCTTTCATTCCACAGGAGGTATAAAGTTCCTTATTCTAAAATAAAAACTCTCTCTAAGCACAAGCCTATGGACATACTGAGTGAAATCCTGGTCTTATGTAAATTCATGGAAAAATTCCCATTGACTTCAACAGGGTCAGAATACCACGCATCGGCTGTGAGGACGCTGGGATTTCTGGACCTGTAACTCCCAACAGGTGACACTCTGGAGCAGTTACGCTACATCTAAGCCCTGTCTACACTGCAGCCTTCACCCTTGCTTCCATCTGTGAAGCTGCACTCACTGGGTATTATGGGTTTAAAAAATACTGGTCTAGACAAGTCTGAAGTATAGATCCTTTTCACGGCCCCACAAAACATATTGCTGCCTTGCATGTAGTCCTGGGTAGGCCACATTCTTTCAAGAATCAGTTGCAAAACAAAGTAGTTTTAAGAAGAAACACTCACATAGCTAATCGCTGAAACATAATATTCCAGAGTGTACATTATTAATTATGGTTGTTATTTCTTATTTGCATTGCGGTAACACCCAGGGGCCCAAGTCAGGATCGATAATGCACAAACACATAATAAGAGACCATCAAAGAGTTTAACCTTTAAATGAAGACAAGAAGCAACAGACAGGTATAACAATCAGAGGGCAGGGAGTCTGAGGTTGAACGGGGATAGCAAGCACATGGTAGCTAGTGTCAGGTCACTGAGGTGAAAAGTGAACACATAAAATAGATTACTGTAGTCCCTACTGCCCATCAACCAAGCCATTATCAGCTGGGAGTTTCCCACAGGTGTCATGAGAGCACTGGGTATACTAGAAATGAGCTAGTGGTCTGACTATCTGAAGCTTTGCTGTATAGCGAGCTGCTTCCTTTGCTGGAGAAATGGCTTCTAGACGAGAACCAGAAGTCCATTAGCAAACCCAGGGCTCCAGGAGGACAGCCTCAGTTTCACTGGTCCTCCTCACATCTTTAACAGTAGTGGAATCAAAACCCACCTGACTCCAGTCTTCCATTCTCATACTGCGCTGGGTTTCCAGAGGTGCTGCTATACTGTGGGAAAGGCTGATTACTGAAGAGATTGTCACACAGTAGGCTGCGGCAGAGCTTCTTGAGGAAGCGCAGGACATAGCCAATGCTGTTCACTACTGGCAGGCTCAGGAGGTGCTGCTTCCCATCAAACGAAGCAGAAACTGAAAAGCAAGTGAGGACAATTCAGTACACTCAGCGATGCATGGGAGCAAAACAGTTTGAGAGGTCTTTTTAATGGCATATGAAAATGGTTCCAGGCAATGTTTGTTTTGGTTGCATAGAATATTTTCCATAGAGAGGGATCTGAACCACAACCCCAGATCCAGATCCACATTTTGCAGCTGACCCTGACCTCTGTAACGATCTAACCTCAAACACTAGTCCTGCCAGGACTTTGATGAAGATCAGATCTGAAGACAAACTTTGTGGCTCAAGTAGTGGAAAGTGGGGTGTGTGACTGGGAAGCATTTGAAGAAAATATTTATGTAAAGGAGTTAGGCTGGAAGGAGGTGAAGTCTACAGCCTGAAATTGTGTTGGAAGCCTCACTCAACTTCCTGCCAGAAGGAGGCAATTGGGTGGTGAGCGAATGAGGAGCTACTTCCTGGATAAGGGCTTCAAGTCTCCTAGATCCAGGAAGTTCATCTGCTGAGATGACTCCAAACAAAGGGTGAAGGTTCCCACTCTGCTTCCCGCTGGAAGGACTCATGTTCCTCGGTGCTTCTTACTGGGAGTGGGAGATTATGGGCCAGATCCTCTGCTGATGTAAATCAACATAGCTCCATGAACTTCAATGGAGTTGTGTCAATTTATATCAGCTGAGGTTCTGAACCAATATCATTTTTTAAGAGTAGAAACAGCTGATGGTCAGTCCTGATGGTCACTCCTGTCCCTTGTCTGTTGCTGCTGGGAGGGAAGGAAGAGAAAAAAAATCGGAATAAGGTTTTCAGCTTTGGTACTTGAGTTTGATTCTAATCAGAAGACCTGAGTCCAATGAATTTTGCAGTCCTGGCCCACGGAGCGATTCCCCTCAGTAATGTTAATGAGAATCGTGCTCACGCAAGGAGAGAAGAATAAATGAACAGTAGAAACCTCACAGTACACTGCACGGCTCACTGCTGATTTGCATGTTTTCAGGAAGGAGTTAGAATAATTTTCTGAGTGTATCTGGTGTCTCTCAAGAAAGCTGTAGCTGGAGTTAGAGTGCCCAAGGGAAACAAAAGGAGTAGAGAGGAATCATTAAGTGCTGCCCATCAGGACAGAGCTCTAGGTCACAAAGCGGAGGGAGAGTCTCAGTGATAGGGCAAAGCTGGGGTGGTCCTTGCTATGCAGGTTGGACTGGATCCTGAGTGATTTCAACCTTACTGCTTGCTTGCAGCTCTCTATCTTCAGGAGCTCATTTGAAAATTATTATTTTTATTTTATTCCGTTGTTCCAAAGCTGCAACCCAAACCTCCTGCTATATAAAAAATATTCATGCTAAGCCTTCAGTTCACAGTGATCTCCACTCTTAGCTGCCCCAGACATGGGCCCAAATTCTATTCTCTATTCTTCACTGGGGTTCCATGGGTGTGGCTGAGAGCAGATCTGGCCCATCGATTGTACACAGAGGGCAATCTTGTACCATTGAAGTCAATGGGTGTTTTACCTAGGAGTAGTATTTGACCCACCCATAACGCATATAGCTTAAGCAAATGGATAATGCTGTGTGTCACTGTAAAATTAAATTTAATACACAGCCCATGTTAGTCCAATCCTTTTGTTTCCCCTGTACTGCTTCTTTTCCCACCGTTTGATTAAAAAAAACCTCTTGAGCCAAGAAAAAAGTGAGAAGACAAAAGGAAACTAATTTAAAATGAGATAGGAAATTGAAGTGCTTTTGATATTTGATTTTTACTGGCTGCTTTGTTGGGCCAAACAAGTGACATTTTCAAACACATGATGTGTTCTGTCAATATCAAGAACTAGGCTGTGTAATCATAGAATATCAGGGTTGGAAGGGACCTCAGGAGGTCATCTAGTCCAACCCCCTGCTCAAAGCAGGACCAATCCCCAACTAAATCATCCCAGCCAGGGCTTTGTCAAGCCTGACCTTAAAAACCACAAAGGAAGGAGATGCCACCACCTCCCTAGGTAACCCGTTCCAGTGCTTCACCACCCTCCTAGTGAAAAAGTTTTTCCTAATATCCAACCTAAACCTCCCCCACTGCAACTTGAGACCATCACTTCACAGCATTCCAAAAACAGATCCTGTAGTCTCTTGTGCCAATATACTGTATGCCTGGGGCCTAATTCTAATCTCAAGTCTGTACAATTCCATTGACTTCAGTAGAGTTACTCCTAACGTCTATGGATGGAAATGAGGCTGGCCCAATGATCTGAATAACGCTGATATGACCTTGAGATTTAAAAGAAAGGTTATGATTTTATAGCACTTTCAGATTTATTGCAAAGCCTTTTTAAAATGTTTTACCTGACACCATCTCGCCTCCATAGCCCTGCTTGACAAGCGAGAAGACAGTCTTTTGCTGATTTGCGCAGTCAATGCATGCCTGCACTGCTTGCTGGAGGACCATGGAAGGTCTTTCAGGCCCAAAGTGATCTGGAAGCTGTTGCACTTTTTTCCTGTCGAGGTATGGCCCCATGTTTGCCTGTTTGTTGACGTAAATGCACACTGTAGACACAAAATCCCAACACAGTTGTTAAAAGATATTAACATCACAACCAACCCTGTTTTCTGGTTTTGTATATTTCATGATATTTAATTAAGAGCCCTTTCCAGTGTGAAATATCATGATGCGCAGTGACACAAATGACTAAATGCTGCTGGTTTTACTCCCATTGGATGAGTAAAGCAAGCAGAAATTGGCCCTGTATATATTTGGATAAGTGATGACAAGTCACCTGCAATTAAGGAAGTTCCTGAAAAAATGGCTGAGTCATGTGTGATACTAAAACCATCATGCTGTGCCAAGTTCTGTCTCTGTGCCAGCTCACAGGGACTGTCACAGACTCCTGAGCTCAGACTCCTTCTGCTTCTACCTGATTGTGTCATATGACCAACAACACTGTGAAAAGTTTCTCACTTGGAGTGAAATTAAGCCTGGAGTTTAGAAGCCCCACAGGAAGGCCCTCTGCACCATTTTAAGATCTGCAGTGGGGCTGTGTATGGGAAAGAGGGTGAGGGCAAGCTAGAAATGTGATCTGTACACCTCAGGGGTCCTGCATGCAAGCCTCAGAAAGGTGGTTGCTAGGGGCGATTTCTGGGCAGAGTGCGGGGCCAACTAGGCCCCAGGACTGTGCACACAAATTGCTATCCTGCAACAGGCACTGTCTGGGAGATTTACGTGTTGAGCCTTTCCGAAGCAGAAGTGAAGAGACCTGCAGACTGGGCTGCCTCCAAACTCCTCAGGAGCCATCATACCCTGCAAAGGCAGAATAGTTCACTCCACACACTCAGCTGCCCCCATCCCAAGCCTTCAGAGAAGCGAGGGCGAAACTTTGCCCCTATATTGTAAACCTTTTGAATAGAGAAGTAGAGAATAAGGATAACAGTAATAGGATGAAGAAAAGGAGGACTTGTGGCACCTTAGAGACTAACCAATTTATTTGAGCATGAGCTTTCGTGCGCATCGATGCATCCGATGAAGTGAGCTGTAGCTCACGAAAGCTCATGCTCAAATAAATTGGTTAGTCTCTAAGGTGCCACAAGTACTCCTTTTCTTTTTGCGAATACAGACTAACGCGGCTGTTACTCTGAAACCAGTAATAGGATGGGTAGCTCCCCAACAGAGGGTGCTGCTGGGACTAAACCTGTGTGTAGGCAGCCACACATTGAAGCGTCCTGCAGCACCGTTTTGTAAAATGGTTTATAATGTAGTTAGGGGCCCCAGCTGTACCAAGGTAATCCTTGTTAGCACCTGGCTAGCAGGAGCCTTGTTTAAGCATGCGGAAGGTTATCTCAGTTTCCGGGTGACTATCGATGAGCCCGTGGTGAGTAAGACCAGGCCTGGGTAAGTCTAAAGTAAGATATATTGTAATAGCTGACTGAGTGTGCTGGAGTTCTGATCTTCCAGGCAATATAACATCATCCTCTGACAGAAATCGGGTCTGTGACAACAAATATCAAACATAGCGGAGGACATGGTGACAGCTGTGTAATGTTGGAAGGAATGTACAGTTTGCATCACCCTAATGAAAATCTAATGCTAATGTCACAGTGCACTCTAATGGTTATGATATAGCCACTCGTACTGAACAACAGGAAGGACTCCAGCAATAAATCCTGGGCAAATATGAATATAATAGCAATAATACTTAACACTACATAGCGCTTTATATCTTCACAGTGCTGTACATAGAAAGATGCAATATAGTTAAAAATATAAGCAGGGTGTATGAGCTATGGAGAGCTCTTAGACTATAGATTTACTAATCAAATACAATAAGATATAATACAGTGGTCCCCAAACTTTTCAGGGTCGCGCCCCACTTTACCCCTGTGCATGCCCCCTCTGGAGCTGGGGCTGGGAGCAGGGCTGTGGCTCCTGGGAGGAGGGGGGCCCACAGAGAGGGATTAGGGGTCCGTGGCCAGGGCTGAAGCTGGAGGTGGGGCCAGGGCTGGGAACAGAGCCCTGGCCAGGGGCCAAGGCTGGGGGTGGGGCCAGCAGCGGGGCCGTGGCCAGGTGTGGAGCTGTGGCTGGGCCATGGTCGAGGGCTGAGGCTGGGGCAGGGCCAGGAGCTGGGGCCGCAGCTGGGGGTGGAGCCAGAGCAGAGCTAGCAGAAGAGCAGGACTGGGTGGCACTCCCTCTCCACCCTCCATGGGGGCTGGCCCAGGCCCCGCCGTATCCCCCACAAAACGTTCATCCACCATTGGGGAACCTCTGATAGAACAGAATATCAAGACTCGATTTCTATCTGTGTTTGTGTTTCTGAATTTGACTCTGGGATCTGTTTCATTTGCCTAAAACTAGATTTGGTCATTTGCAGCACCCAATTCTTGGTCATAAGAATGAATAAGAAGGATCTGGTGGAAGGAGGCGTCTCCTGGATAACATTTAGTCTCCTAACATTCAAGAGACTTAGAGGGAATTTTTCAAAAGGGCCTAAATGATTTAGGAGCTCAAGTTTCATGAACTCTGTTCCCAGCAATGCCACAGACTTGAAGAAGTCACTTCACCCGTTGGGCCTCACCTTAGCCTCCTGTAAATTAGGAATAGCAATATCTATCTCACCAGGGTATTGTGAAGCTCTGTTTTTTAATATATGTAAAGCACTTTGTGATCCAGAATGTAAGGAATTAAATAAGTGCAAAATATTATATTCTTTTTAGAATGCTACCAAAGAAGAAGGGAGATTTTTTCTTTGCATGCCTGAGCTAAGGAGGATTTTTGGTTTTGTTTATATCTAGCATTATCAAACCTGTTTCTGTATCGAAGTCTCAGGATAAATCCACCCTCCTCCAAATTATGGGCTGATTCTCCTCTCACTTATGTGACTTAAATGGTTACTTCTGATAACTCAAACATCAGTGGGAAGAGAATCAGGCCCTTATTTTCCATAAATCATTAAACCTTGTCAGATAGAAAGGGCCAGACCCTCAGCTGGTATAAGTCCGCGTAAGTGACTTTGGTGGACCAATGCTGATTTACACCAGCTGAGAATCTCACCCAGAGTCCTTAGATCACATTCCTCCCTCTCCAATAAATGTAAGTTTTTTCTTTTCCCAAAATTAAGTTCACACTACACCATTGATTCCGGTTATTGCTTCATCAATGCCAGTGCAACTTTGATATTAGAAATGCAAGTGCACGGGAGAGGCTGATATATTTATTCATGGAGAATAGATTTGAGATCTGTTCCAAACCTGGATTAAAAACACAGAAGCAGGACTTCTATACATGGGCCTGAGTCTCCACTTCTGTGTACCTTGTATAGGTATTCACACCTATTCAAAGGGTGTATAAAATGCGACAAAATCAGAATGATATTGTTTTACCTGAACTTTGCACAGGTGGAAATGACTATACAAAGTGCAGTGCAAAGGAGAATCAGGCCCACTGACTCTCTTAACCAACCCTCAAACTACTCAGTCAAAATGTACATGCAGGTGCTGGAACTAGGGGTGCCTCCCCCCGGCTTGAAGTGGTTTTCGTCAAACACAGTGTTTACAGTTTGTTTCAGTGGCTCTCAGCACCCCCACTGCACAAATTGTTCCAGCACTCCTGAATGTACAGTCTTATAAAAAGTTACAGCTCACAAGGCAACATGCTCCGTCTCTGCTCTATGTGTTTAGCAATCAGTTTAGTTGGCAAACGTACTAAATCCTTCAGTCTGCATTTTTCAGGGATTAAGTTTGTTTTAGAAAGCACAAATAGCTGACTATCAAACTACTGTACCTTCCCACTACTTTGCAATGCGGCATTTGATTCAACATACCAGTGAGAGCTTGCGGGGCAGCTGAATTGGGTATTGTAGCTGCATCCTGAGGGATTGAACTAATATCAGGTTCTGGTGTGCTTCTTGGAGGAGAGATTGCTAAAGGAGTCATCAGAACACGCGACTTCAGCTGCAAGACATAACCAATTTGGGTAATGAAAATATATACAGTGCATTTTATTTTTATCCCTCACATTTCACTTCCACTGAACTCCCATTTATTAGCAATTTGCTCTTGCATCATTTTACTTCCAGCCAAGAGACTCCTTTCACTCTTTGAAAGATAATGGACTAAAAGAAACTGACATTGATTTGCAATGAACAGTAACACTTTAAGTAGCAGGATACAGTATTATACCCCCATTGTGTTCTTATTTACACTTGAGCAAAGTGGGTATAAAATCAAACACATTGCAATGGGGCATTTTACACACATTCTACTCAGGTTTAAATAACTAGCCGAGGCTCAAAGCAGCAGAGAATCGGGCTCTTTTTTCTACATAGTAAATTAGGGCCAAGTTTTGCTCTCAGTTACACAAGTGTAAATCGGGTGCAAAACTCAATGACTCAAGTGGGGCGAATGAAAATGGGATTTGACTCTTAACATGGTTTACGGGTTAGTATCATGTTTTTACTATCTAGTAAATGTCAGTTGCTATGTAGTTACACTTAGTAATCCTGCTAACTTGTGGTACGATTTTGAGACAAAGAGTTCATCTACACAGCAAAACAAGTACTGCCGCAGTGAGTCTCAGAACCCAGATCAACTGACTCTGGCTCACGGGTCTCACACTACAGGGCTAAATGTAGCAGTGTAGATGGTCAGGCTTGGACTGGAGCCTGGGCTCTGAAGACTGGCAAGGGGAGAGGGGGTTTTTGCTGGGTAGACATACCCATAAGCTCTGTGAGTATTTACTGTGTAATAATACGGTGCAATTACCCTGCCAATGTCGATCCAATCAAATGATGGCTGGTTACCTTGTAATTAAAGAGTACTGGCACGATGATATATGGGCCCTGAAAGCATCACCCTCATTTTGTCTTTTGGTATAGTGATAAGCTTCAAGAGCACATGACTGAATATTGGCTATTCTCCAGCACACGAAATGCTGAATTCCACATTCTACATCTGCCAGTTCAAGATCTTCTTCTTACAACTGATTTTTCTTTGTTTTTAATGGACAGACTACAGAATGCTAGAGAACAATGGTTTGGGGAAAATTAAACAGCTTTAACGTCCATACTCATTATAAGGGATGTCGCTGCCTACGAACCTTCACCCAAACCAGCGAAGGTGTGCAAAGCGTCCTTTAGGCTCTACGGAAGTCGGCACCATTAGCTGCAACCCCAAACCATGACCAAGATCTTGTGGAGAGACAGACACTCTTTGATAAAGACTTGTCTTGTCCAACAATTTATTGGTAAGACAGGTATCTGCCAATGGTTGCAAATGCTTAAAACAGCCACCACTTTGTTTCATCACGGTGGTAAAAACAGCTGGATCAGGAGTCTGATCCGAAATCTACGGAACTCAATAAGAGTCTTTCCATTGTATTTCATGGACTTTGGATCATGCCCCAAATACAGACTCATTCCAATTATTGCTTCAGCATCTCTTGAGCTCAGTTGTGTAATAATACCACCATCTAGCTCTTCTAGTGCGCTTTTTGTCAGTAGGTCTCAAAGCACTTTACAGAAGAGATCTATATTATTCTCATTACTTCCTCACACAGCATACAACCATCCTGTGGAACTCATTGCCAGGGATGTTGTGAAAGCCAAAAGTATAGCTGGGTTCAAAAAAGAATTAGATTACTTCATGGAGGATAGTTGCATCAATGGCTATTAGCCAAGATGGCCAGGGATGCAACCCCATGCTCTGGGTGTCCCTCTGACTGCTAGCGGCTGGGACTGGATTACAAGGAGTGGATCACTTGATAATTGCCCTGTTCTGTGCATTCCCTCTGGCATTGGCCACTGTCAGACGACAATTTACTGGGCTAGATGGACCAGCAGTCAGCCCTAGGATGGCTGTTGTTACAGCTGAGAAAACCAAGGCACAGAAAAGGGAAGCAACTGGCCCACAGTCACCCAGCAGCAGAGCTGGGTGACTATGGGCCAGCTGAACCCATGTCTCCTGAATCCGAGGCCAGGGATTTATCCACTAGGCCACACCACCTCCCCTAGAAGCAAATACTTTTGTTCTAAATAAAAAAAAACAACTTCCTGTTGCAGTTGGAGCAATTTCTGTTGGAACTATCTACCTGACCCAGCCTGCCAAACAGCCAATCACCCCTCCTTAAAACACACTTCTTCATGAGGTTTCTAAAACCTAGTCTTGCTCCAGAATGCTTGATACAATATATACCTAATAAAATCAAATCTAAACTTCATCACCATGCTCTTTCTTGTACCCCAGCCCCCTCCGTTGTCTGATTAGATTGTGAGCTCTTTAAGGCAGGGACTTCATCTCCTTGCTAGCTGGAAAGAGACAAGCTCATTTGTGGTACTATAGAACAATAATACTACTGCGATTACTTTTCATTCAGCCTTACTGTGAAGACACAAAGCAAAAGTCCCTGCATTTGGTATACTTAGTGGCCCTTGGTGCAAAATCAAAACCATGGGACTGACTAGCACATTCAAAGGAGCTGAAATATTTATGAGATGATTGCAGAGTTACTATTGCCTACTTTTTTTTGGCCAGGTTCCCGGGGCAGCAGGATGCACACGTGTGGGCATGAAATATTGTATATTAGCATTTTGTACAGTGGCTCACATAGCTTGTTGATTAAATGGGCTACTGTGATGTTAGTTGTGTCATTATTCATTACGATAAATAATGATCCATATATAGGACTAGAGGGGTACCTGGTGTTTTATAAACAAGTAAGATGATCAATGCCACTTAAGTTGATGGAGGAAGAGGGGGGTTAAACATGTGCTAAAAGTTAAGAATTGGTTAAGTGCTTTGCTGAATCAGGGCCTAATTGTTCAATCCATTTCTGAAGCATGCTAAGCTCTTGGACCTGATAAGATCTTGTGGCAATGAGCTCCACAGGCTAATTGTTCATTGTTTTAAAAAGCATTTACTTCACCAGTTTTAAATTTGCTGTGATATCAGGTTATAAAACATGGTTTCCTGATTTAAGTCAATGCACAGGTCAGGCCTGCAGGGAGCTAGGCAGGTAACCAGCCATCATTTGATTGGATCGACATTGGCAGGGTAATTGCACCGTATTATTACACAGTAAATACTCACAGAGCTTATGGGTATGTCTACCCAGCAAAAACAAAAGTTCAGGTCAGGTGATTCAATCTGGTCCATTCTCTAGCAGCATTATGCTTAGTTCAACACTTAGAGAACCTTTGGGTGTTAAAATTAGAATTGAGAAAGTTTGCTCAGAGCCACTGGTGATTTTTAAACCATTAAAATCAATGGTGGTGGGGAGGAGGAAGATAAGCGTTGGAAAGTCTTAAGCTGGAGCTGGTTTGGGGTTTGCAGAATGTGGTAAGGCAGAAAGTGAAATTGTTACTTTATCCATGGTAGTGTGGGTTGATGCTACAAAACTTATAGTGTCCCTCATGCTGGAGTTCTGTGCTCCTTCTCTCAGTTAGGGTTGCCAGCTGTCTAATTGCACAAACCCAAACACCCTTGTCTCTCCCCTGCCATGCCCCTGCCCCGAGGCCCTGCACTTCCCCGAGGCCCCGCTCCCCACTCGCTCCATTCCCCCTCCCTCCATCTCGCTCTCCCCCACCCTCGCTCACTTTCACCTGGCTGGGGCAGGAAGTTGGAGTGTGGGAGGGGGTGAGAGGTGCAGGCTCCAGGTGGTGCTTACCTCGCGTGGCTCCTGGAAGTGGCGAGCTGTCTGGCTCCTAGGCTCAGGGGAGGCCAGGCAGCTCTATGCACTGCCCCTGCCTGCAGGCACCACCCCCACAGCTCCCATTGGCTGTGGATCCCAGCCAATGGGAGCTGCGGAGTCGGTGCTCGGGGTGGGGGAAGTGTGCAGAGACCCCTTGGCCGCCTCTGCACCTAGGAGCCAGAGGGACATGCCAGTTGCTTCTGGGAGCTGCATGGAGCCAGGGCAGACAGGGAGGCTCCCTTAGCCCCGCTGTGTCGCAGAACTGACTTGTAGTGGCTATTAAAATCTGGAGTGGTTTCAGTAGCAACCAGGAGATTGATTCCGATTCCAGGAGACTCCCAGCCAATCTGGGAGGGTTAGCAACCCTACTCAGTCTGATTTGGTTTGTTTGTTTTTGTTTTGGGGAAGGGGTACCCAAAAGTGGTATTTTATTTGTGGTTTGGCTGTTTGTCCTTCTTAGTGATTCACAGCAGGCTGGCCTCAAACTTGACTCACACACGCTAGTCCCCCCCAACCCCCAAGAGCTCAAGCCTCCTGAATCACTTTAACAGGAGCCCTTCGTGAGGTGAGCGCTGCAGATCTGTCAGCTTATGCATCTTTAACGTTTTCTTCTGCATCTTCATCCTAGTCAGAGTATTCAGGCTGGTGCTTAAGAGGAAATAAACAGGGTACTAATCCACTGTGAGCTCACTAGTTTGGAGGCTTCTTTCTTTCTTTCTTTCTTTCTTTCTTTTAGTGAACAGTTTTCTGCAAATCTAATTAAAACTGAATTTGCACTAAAGCATTGAGGTACAAATAAATGCTACTTCTAGGGGGAAGGAAGGGGGGAATTTTATACTTAGACCATAATAAAGTAACAGCAGGATTACAGGAGATGATATAGTAACAGTGCTGCTGAAGCTTAAATGCCTTTGGAGACTGAGTATCTCAGTCTGACTTATTGCTGTCCATGAGTCTCTGAATATTTAATACTAACACTCTTCTTTTCTTGGGCTGACTCTGTTCTTTTGGAAATCTAACCAAACCCATGACAGACTGTGAGTTTATGAAGAAAATAGGGCAGATGTAGAAGAAAAATGAAAAACAGAGAGAGCCAGACAGTCAGAGCAAATGTGTTGAAATGGTGTAGAATATATGGAAAATCCTCCCTGTAAATCATTCAAATATATTTTATGCACAGAGTCAAAATGAAAGCTCATGAATGATTCGTGGGACTATATCTAGCCATGCCCCAACCAATATGACAACAGGTTCGTGGAAATGTCAG